ACATTAGCAGTATATTCACAAAGTCTAGTTGTTGCAATGATGTTAGGCATTTGGTGGAAACTAATGACAGTGACTGTCCTCTGGCAAGAGATATTCAAGAGCATTTTATGGATTAAATAGATAAGAAATAACATCTGAATTGGTCAGGGGAAAACATGCATGTATGCAAGTCAGCTTATGCTAAGCTATGCTAACCAGTGGCAAGCAAAGAGGTAAGCTTATACCCCACAATGTGAAATCATTCCTTGAAGTGCTCCTCTATGTGACCACTGCCTGTTGTTTTAGTTTACACATCTTAACAGGACACACAGATAATGTAAAAAATGGATGACAATTGGCAGTAATTATTTTGTTGACACATGGTAGTTAATATGAACTTGACTTGTGGTTGACATACAATTTGGTGGCATTATGTTTCCAAAAAAACATGTCTTGGTAATTAAAGATAGTTGGAAACCAGGCTGTTACTGAAAGTTTGAGATTGCTTTACTTTTATAACCAGAGGTTGTTGTTATTCTTTGAGAACTTAGCTTTCCAAATGTATTGAGAGAGCAAATGCATGGCCTTGGACTGCATGCATTTGATTGCAGGACAATTAAAAGAGGATGCAGAATACTTATTTTTATACAAAAGTTATTACAGTAGGATAACATTTCATTGGTTTCAGCCTGTCTGCATTGTTCTATATTCTCTATTCTAAAGAAGTCCATCGGAAAACTTTGTTTCCCTACATTGTTATTTCCTCTTGACCTAGAAACTAAATATACATCAGAAATCTCTCAAGTGTGTTTAGGTGTCTGTATTCCTCCCAGTAAATTCCATTTCAAATGTGGCTAGGCAATTATGGTTCGCGCTTTTTATAAATAAGATAAATGGACGTTTTAATGAGAACTTTTTCGAGGCTAAATGTATTTATGTGTTTTTTTTCAGTGGAGCATACATCACCTTCGATGTTCACAGAATGTCCTGCAGAGATGCTATCAGCTGAGGTGGAAATATATATATATATATATAAATATATATTTTAGTTTTGGGTTTGATTCAGATCCGTGACAGCTGTCATCGCTCTCACCACAGCCTGCAGAGACAGGGTGAACATAATGCAAACTGAATAATTTAAGGACAAAACTTTTATGCACTGTTAGAGAAAGTTTATCTCATTCTTGGTACAGAGGGACAGGAGGAAACTTGGAAATCCACAAAACTTGTATGTCTTGTACTTAAAAACAATCTGCAAAGACAATTGAAGGGCGATGGTACTGCAATTAAGTGTAAGACCATATTTGCATTCCCAAAATGGTACCTTTGTTTTTGTTCCTTAAAAAGAAAAGAATCCTTACGTTTTTCTCTAGATTTAATCAACTCGTACTTTTCTCGTACATAGTAAACCTTCAATTGTCCTCCATTGGATGTTTGACTATCCATAATTTAATGAATATTGAGGACATATGGAGATTAAGGCATTGGTTCTTACTGTGCACAGATGGTTGTGCAACATTAAGTGTCTTAGTTGTTAAGTAGAAAGCATCACAATCATTATCTTTCTACATTTATTCTGTTCTTTTTTTTTACTTCTTTTTTTCAGCTGTTTATTCCAGTATGCTCGCTTTCATTTCAATACATTTAATGGATATTCTGTATTAATAAAATCTACCAAGAGCGCCACTAATTACGGATAACAAAGTTAAATGCAAAAGAGGGACATAACGCATGGTTCACTACAGTACAAGTAGACTATAGGGGTCATCAATAGCATAAATCCTGTGTTCAGATTAAGTTCGTACTCATAGACTGATATTGATAAAGGCAAACATAACATTTCATTTTGAGATGTTATAACTCTAACTTATAATAAAAACAATGGTGGTTATTCTGTCATTATTCTGCATCTTGCACTGATTGAAATGACCTATTTGGAATGAAAATAGTAGTCTCTACTGCACCCCGTTGTATTATTATCTAAGCTATATTCCAATGTAATCGTAAAATCAAAAGCATAGTTATTATTACGTTTATTCATGTACGCAGTAGTTTCTCTAAAAGAGTGATAAGAACCAGATAACGTTTCTGAACATGGAGTTTCCTTCTGAAGTAATAAGAGGGTTATTTGTATTGTAGACATTATTAAGTCATGTTTTTATTCAAGAAAATTGGTTTTTACAATCTCCTGTGGTGATTTTAAAGAGGATATATAAAATGTCTAATCCCTAAGTGAAAGAAATGCTGAAAATGTACATTAAGACTACCTGTATGAAACAACAACTTATCCCTTTGAGGCTTATTTAACATTTTCATTTTGTTGTGAAAATGATAAATAACCTGAATGTTTTCATCTTACCAGCAGCTTTTAAAATGAACCTCATTGATGCTGTTTTTAAGTATCAAATGAAAACACTGAACAGTGAAATCAAGGTATAACGCTCCAAGAACTTTTATAAAAGTAGTTTTTTAATTAATTTTCAGTTAAGGCAATCCAATACAAAGCATTTCACAACCCACCATATGACAATAATCATGTACAATTTAAAAACCCCATTTAAACGAAAGTAGGGAGTCATGCAAATCAGAAAACAAGAGATACAAATAATAAAAATAAATTGTGAGAATAGACTAAAAATAATAAAAAAAAGTGTTAACTGTAACATGCTAATTAAGCTACAGTTTTCAAGTACTGGTGAGACAAGAAATGTTTGGAGAACCAGGCACAGGAGAGAAGAAATAGCAAACAGTCCACAGAGCTTACTTCCAAGTTTGGCACTGACATGCATGTAATCTGGGCTGGTTCCTATTATACAGAGGGGGCACTCTTTGTCAATGTACCCCAAGAAAACATGCAGTCAATCCATCGCACTAATAAATCAGTGGGTTAAGAGGTCACCATAATGACATAGACAACAGGAGCAATGGCTTTTCATACATATAACTCCAAAAATAAATATCTTCAATACAGTAATAATATATAAAACATATACAATGAGCACTCCTCGCAAGGATAAAGTGCCTCCAGAATCTGTATGCAAACCTGCTGTTGATACACTTTACATTCTAACACACTCTTATCTTTTCACTGATAACTGTTTCCTCTCTTACACCACCTAACAATATACAAGCAAATAGCTGTTTTCCATTTTGACCACTATGAAATAATTCCTCTCCTCAACCAAAGAGCCATACTTATCCACCTGAGCTGCTATTCGATAAAATACATGATGAGATGTAGAGACTCCCTTCTAGATTTTTAAGGCCTTTTAGTTTGCTACATTAGACACTTGAAAATAACCTTTTGAGCTCAGAATAATTACTTGCTTTGTCAGTTTGAAAGGAAAGGGCACCTTTTTTAGAGTGTATTATAATTGTAGCCTTGTCTTTGTGTTTGTTTACACTCTACATCAATGAGGGGCACATGTAGGTCAAGCTTGTAAACAAAACCAAGTTAAATTGAAATAATGATACTAAAAGAAGAGCAACGGCTGTGTCAAAGATGGAAAAAGTAAAAGTTAGATTTAGAATTTGTTTATGTGTCTATTTGATGCTAAAAAAATACGACAAAAAAAATCAGTCATGCTAACAGCTCCGTGAGTCTTCACTTAGACAAAAGTGTAGCTTTGAGCTAAATGCTAACATCAACATGCTTAAAATGACAGTGCTGGCGTGTTGTTGTCGTCTTTCCTTAGTTTGTTGGCATGTTAACATTTGCTGAAAGTTTGACCTGATGATGCTACAGAGAGTAACTCCAGTCATAAGGATACATCTTCTAGGGATGTTGACGACGGGACAAATATGTATTGTAAACCCATCCAATAGTTGTTCAGATATTTCAGTCTGGAATCTCCCATTTTCTAAACTAAGTACATGAATAACATGCATGCCATGAAAATACCACTTTATTGTTCAACATGTTTATGCTTGATGATGTGGCTAGTGTTATGTCACTGTTAACACGAATAACAATTGTTATTGCAACATGAGCAGAGATCCTATGTGATTTGTCAGATGGGATGCATGATGGGATAAAATAATTGAGTCTATTGTATTCTGAATAGGGCTGTCAGTCGATTAAAATATTTAATCGCGATTAATCGCATGATTGTCCATAGTTAATCGCGATTAATCGCAAATTAATCGCACATTTTTTATCTGTTCTAAATGTACCTTAGAGGGATATTTTTTAAGTTTTTAATACTCTTATCAACATATGAGTGTACAACTATGCTTTATATGTTTGTTTATTATCATTTGAACAATGACAAATATTCTCATGAATATTAAACACAACAACCTGAACATTACAAATATTCGCCTCAATTCAACCTAGAATCTCTCTCATACAATACGTGTGTGTGTGTGTGTGTGTGTGTGTGTGTGTGTGTGTGTGGTGGTGTCGTGTGTGTGTGTGTGTGTGTGGTGTGTGTGTGTGTGTGTGTGTGTGTGTGTGTGAGTGTGTGTGTGTGTGTGTGTGTGTGTGTGTGTGTGGTGTGTGTGTGTGTGTGTGTGTGTGTGTGTGTGTGTGTGTGTGTGTGTGTGTGTGTGGTGTGTGGTGTGTGGTGTGTGTGTGAGTGAATGATCGTTGGAGCTATGTGCAGCTCAAGGCATATATGCCTGTGTGTATGAGCTGTGTTGCGGCACTATCCGTGCTGAGTGTGCTGTCTGGCTACCTGCATAAAGTCAAGTGCTCGGCGCAGTTGTCGGCGAAATGTCGCTCCTCTGTTTTCATTGAAACAGCTCCTTATATCCGTTAGCTCAGCTAGCTAGCACCAGATGCCTAACAACAACACGTAAGGTGTGCTTCGCTCGCGCCACACATACACACACCCTCCCGGTCCTCCCGATGGCCAGTCCGGGCCTGCCGGTGAGCGTGGAAGTGTGGTCTGCCACAAGCGGGCAGCAGGAGCGGGGCTGTCAGCATCAGCTTGTAGATGGTATTTTAAACTCGATGCGCTCTGAAACTACGGCGGCCGAGGACAAAAAATACACATGCGTTAATCGCGTTAAAATAATTAGTGGCGTTAATTTTTTTTTGCGTTAACGCGTTATTAACGCGTTAACTTGACAACCCTAATTCTGAACTTTCTCTCTTACTGTATGCACAATGTGTACTTATCAAAACACCCCATGCATGGATCATTTTCTTCACATTTCCAAATGTTGACTGTATGACATGTCTCAATGTTTACAAGGCAACAAATCATAGGGTTGTCGAGGCTTGTTGTTGCACCATTGTGCCGGTATGCATCTCAAATTAAAAAGCTTTTGTTACTGTTTTGGTAAAATTGGATTTGCTACTTGAAAGCCAGTTTGTTTCGTTTCCACACAGATGGTGGGAGGCTACAGAAAGCCAAACTAAGATTAGCACAAAGTGATCCCCCTTTACCCTGTGGTATTGATGGGTTGTTCATGTGTTTACACTTGAGATAATTACTTTTGTACTGAATGTAATGAACAAAAATCCTAAAGCTCTCTAGATCACTTGTGAACTGTCTCCCACCAGAGACTTGAAATGTACTGCGCCACGCTGTATGAGATGTAAATCTGGAGGGAGCAACACTGGCTGTGATCGCACAGACTTACAGTGGGAATCCATGATGACGGGGGTTAGAGACTGCTGATGCGTGGCCTTTGGGGGCTTACAGATTTCTGCTTATTGAGTGTCTGGGTTGCCGCGGCGGTGTGTTTAGGATCGTATCAGGACCGGATAACCCGCTATCGGGCCCTCAGGCAAGAATAACACGTGGGTCTTAAACCAAAAAACAAACCAGTGTTCATAGTTTGACCTGCTACCATTTGCCTTTGATTGCTGTGTGTCACTTAGTTGTATTGTAAATGTATTACATGAATTGTATTAATATCACATGTATGCATCAACTGAAAGTAATGAGATTGGGACACAAGGCCTCTTGAAGATCAAAGACCCTCACTGTCTGGTGTACATTGTGCTTTAATTGTGCATATTACCCAAAAGTGTCATTTAGTCAAATTGCTCCATGGGAAAGTGGAACTGTCGCCTGCATTGCTAGATTAGTTCTCTGGATATAAATAATATATATCACATGTTTTGTTATGTGTTTTACTTGCTGTATAAGGTAATGCATGTTGTATACTGAATAACCATTTGTGTGGATTAGAAAATGAAACAGGGGTTATGATGAAATTATTATTGTTACCTCTGTTCAGATGTATTCTCTGTGATTGGAATGTATCCTTGCTGAATGAGAACCTCCAACAAGCCTGAGTAATATTTTATGTTGAATTGCAGCTGCAGTTCATCTATATTTGACTTGCATGAATACATTGTGTACTTTCTTTAGAAACAGTGACCATCAGCTCTCAAAATGATTCAATATGATTGATAGCATCGTACTAAGCTTGTCCTTGGTAGAGAGACAGGTTGTGCTTTTTATATGCAATCACTCAAATAATTGGTGACCACTTCAAAAACATATCCATCAAATGTCCATGCCACTCTAAATAACATTGGAGAATAAATATACTGGGATTTGGGAATAAACTTCTCATACAACATGCTGATATAAACATTTACCTACCAAAGAAGAGAAGAGGAGACACCTCATGGTAGAAAAGCCTGATTAATGTTAATAATAAACTGTAAACTACACATCTTTAGTGTTCCTCCATCATAACCGATGCATTCGCAGATATGGAGATACTCCCCAAATATAAAAAAACGTATTCCAGAAGGGAAAAGGTGCCTAAAAAAAATATCACTGTGTTAGGCCACACCAATGGCTGACGAGCAAGGCTTAGGTCAAAGTTCACATGTCCTGATACAATTAGAGAAACAACCACAGACAGGCACAAGTTTTAACCACAACATGACCTCTTTGAACCACCTGCTGTCAGATTAGATGTGGAACAGTCACTGCCTCAGTGTCGGACTAAAAGGCTTTCACCAACGAGTCCTGGTAGGTCTGAGCCTCTTATTAAAATAAATCATCAAAATGAATATATCACCGAAAAACAAACCAAATAAAAAAAAAACGTTGCTCGAGTTGTCACTGGGAGGATACGGCCCAAAATTCAACTTCCATTTCCTGTCGCGTCATCTCCTGTTTGCACCATAACACAGGAGGAAGAGTTCCCACTGGACTCTGGAGCGGCTGCTGCATGCTGTCAGTCCTCAGTGAAAAGCCAAGAGGAGGGCTTCAGATCAGTGTGTGGTGGTGTGTGAGTCCAGGCGGTGTGTAAGGAGGTGGCGCTGGATTGGGTTTGACCCCCCGACTCTTCATGTAAGAGATGAACTGGTCTGGGATCTCTGCTAGCACGTCCTTAGCGAGCCGCGCCATGCTTAACACGTGGTTGCCTGTCCGGTCCATATAATCTCTAAAGGGAACAAACTGAAGAAGAAAGGGGAATATAAATGTACTTAGTTACTGTTGCAGTAACATGACAACATATCGTTTCCTCTGCCTAGCATAATTCCATTTTAGGATTTTGGTTCACTGTTGTATTCATGAGACGCTCTAAATTCTGTATGACAATGTACACAAGTGGGTTTTATTCTAAATGGGGAAATCCAGAGGGCTCATGTTTAAGCCCCTATGTTAGTCAACATTTGCCATTTCCTGCAAGCTTTAGTTTGCTGATCTGTCACTAATCCTGTGCTCTGGCTCCCCTCAGGAGTCAGAGGAAATAAATGTGCTTGAAAATAACTTAAAAGATAAGGTTTCCTTCTGGGGTTTGATAATTGACTCGTGATAATTTTTTTTAATTAATTGTCATAGCACACACAAGCTTTCCCTAGGAAGTCGTTTAGCCAAGGTAGTAAGCCACACAAACCATGAAATCGTTGCTCTAAAACACATTTGGAAACTCAGCACATCATCAGCCAACTTGATTCTGTTTAGTTTTGACACTACACAGAAAGAAAGTCGGTTGAAAAACCTATGTCTAGAGTGCCCCAGAGAGACATCTAATATTAAACTTTCTAGCATGCTGGTCTCTATTGAAATTCACAGGACGCACACAGATGTCCTAATCTGTTAGAAGTGCCAGTGCCAACAGATGGTCTTTTGTCAGAAACAGACATTTTGAATGTGCCAGCATTACTGAGGCAACTGCATGCACGTAAAATGCTAATATAAAGATATGACACAACACATACTGTAAATCACTGGAAACACTGTTGCCTTTTTCTGGTGATCTGTATCTCATAAGACTGCATTCGCTTAGGCTTGATTAATGTTTAGATACAGTATTGTCTGTTACATGGACAATGTTGCCCTTGAGTAATTCTTGAAATAGTGAGATCTGTTTTTTTCAGTGACTGGTGTCCTTGTGCAGAGAACACAGTCTCGGTTCCTTTCATGCTGTAAAGGGCAGTCACCTGAACAATGTCTCTCTCTGCCAGTTTCCCCCGGGACGAGACCCGGATGTCATCACCATCCAGCTCCACCATAGCTGGAAAACACAAGTTCACACAAACATGCATGGATGAACACACACATACACACATGAGAACTGAGGGCAGATACCAGGTTGATACACTACTGATGCTCAAGTTTATCCTAAATAATATACAAAACACATCTTTTTGCTTCAGCCTTAGTAAATGGGAGGGGGTGGTGAGCTGTAATCTGTCTTTATTGCATGTCTAATCAACTAATAAATCCTGTAATAAAGTCTCTGTGCAATTTAGGATAATCTCTTCTAAACACTGCAAACCCAGCAATTAACCTCAGCCATTCATTCTGCAATAATGCCTGCAGCCACCCACGCTTTCCCTTCTTCACTGACGCAAATTAGTTTGTACAGTGATTTTCTCTCTGGTGTTTATCTGAATTGATGCGCTGGCTGTAACAGCAATGGACTGAGAATTGTAAGAATTAAAATATCAATTATTGACCCCTGTTTTTATACCTTTTAACTGTGTTCAATTATTTAGAAGGCATTCAACCTTTTCAGAATACAAAACAGCTGTTAATGTTTTTGCTATGATGACATCTTGTATTTGCCTGCCAACACAAAATAACCCAAATATGAAATCTTTAGTTTGTGAAGCAGTCAAGAAATTGAAGGCAGCATACCGTCAAACTCTGCCTGACCAACACCAACTATGATGATGGACATGGGAAGCTTCGCACCCTAAGGAGGAATATAAAAAAGAAAGATTATTGACGGAAACGACAGACACTTGTCAACATTACCACTGACCTGAAGTGCTCATTATAGTTTACACGTCTGCATTACAGACATTATAGCAGTTACATGCTCACCACGTTTGTTACAACCTTGTTAATGTTCTGTTTCACACCTAAATTAGCTGGATGACCTTTAAGTAGGACAAGTCCTCCAAAGAGACAGGGAGTCAGAGAAGGACAGCCAGACGGGGAAAGCATTTCAACAGAAACTTGTTGTTGTCTCTGCTTTCCTTATCCCTGATGTTATGTACTGGAATCCAATTTTATCCCAAGAATGCACCCCGGCTCTTATCTCAGGATGACACACACTGTATTTGCCCACTGAGTGCTAGTTATCAGGCTGGGGAGAGGAGATTAAACTCGCTGACAACACTAACTGCATCCCCTGAGATACCGCGACAACAGGTCAGCTGTTTTCCTTGCTTAAAAAACGTTCACATGTGGATTTTATTTAATATTTTCACATTATACACCTAAATAAGCTTGTTAAGGCTAAAAGGAGACATTTCTTCAGGTCATACAGTACATGGCGGGTGTGGCATTTGTGAGCTGGGAGAGGCGCCCACTTCAATCAGTACAGCGACCATCCCAAGCCACACCTCGGATATAACTGCTTTATATCAGTTAAACCACAACATATATCATTGTTACAAAATATCTAGGCATAGGGCTGGAAAATAACTATGTTCCCTTTCCTAGTTTGGCCTGTTAGCATGCAAACACTTGCAGGTATTTGCTCATAAATCAAACTGTGGGACAACCTGAAATGTTTACCTGATGATAAAAATGGATGGGGTAGGATCATCTATGTTAATACGGTTTTCCCTGAGAGGGCCACACATTTCTGTACCAGAATTATAATACAAATGTAGTGCTTGTCCATTTGGTAGATGTTTACAGTATATATGTGACCAGATAAGTGAAATATTTAAGATGCTGCTGTTACTGGATGAAAAGTCAAGGTATCACCCAAGTCAGTAAAGTATCCTCTGGGGAACATGAATGTTTGTTTAAAATGTTATGGCCACCTAGTCCAATAGTTGTTGAGACATTGCTGGAACAACACTTTGTCTGACATAATGCATCAGTTTGACATCCATAAAGTTATTTTTACATAATTTGCACTAGTGTTTTAGATTAATTGATGTCATTAATCAATACATATATTTATTTCAGCCAAACCAGCCCTAGTAACTATGTGCTTAACCACTGTGTGTTGCGGTCATTTCCTCCTAAACAAATCAGCATCATTCTGTCTCTTTGAAATATCTTTTTGAAAAGTTTTGATTGTCTTTCTTGAACTTTATGCATCACAAGTGATGTTCTTTACGTCCTGCTTGAGACTGCATTGCACTTTGAAAGGCTATGCTGGTGTCTGTTGTAATTTCAAGATAGATGGCGACATAAATGCTCAAATCAAAATCCTATATCACATAAAATGAGTTTTTCTGCAACCATATATTTTCACAAAGCAGTAATAATGAGTGCAGTTTTATCTGCGTCACAAGACAAATGTACCGTGGAAAATCAGGCAACCTCTTTTGCCACGGGGGTGAGAGCAGTTTCTGTCGACACAAGCTCAGTCACAGCACATCAGCTTGATTATCAGTGTTCAACACAACTCCTGTCAGTGCCTGTCCTCCCACGCACATGCACACACTAAAACTCACACTGCAGATATGTACGCACACATCAAATGGCACCAAAAATAACCTGGCAATCCACCGTGCCCCACTTTTCTCCTGTCACTTTGACTGGCAGTGGAAATCCAGTTTAATTAGACAACAAAACACAGCATCAATAAACTCCAAGATCTCACTCACCATGTGCTGCTTAAAGGGGACCTATCATGCAAAATGCACTTTTGTACGTCTTTTATACATGAATATGTGTCCCCGGTGTGTCAGGGAACTCACCAAGTGTCAGAAAACACAACCCTCTCTATTTTCCTCCATACCCAAATCTCTAAAAAACGGGGCTGCAACGGAGCTGATACAGATTTGAAATTGTTCTGACGTCAGAAACAGGGAGCTCCGCCTATATGGGCAGCTCTCCACCTATCAGGGGAATGGGGGGTTGGGCCACAGCCATTGCCGCTCGAAAGCGCTGGAGACGCTGTAGTACATATGCCAGGCCTGTAAGTGGCGCTGTAGTCTGCCACAAAAGCAGCGAAGAAGACTTCTCACAGAATCAGCCCTTGCAAAAACAGGGCTGGAAAAGAGCAAATAGAGCGAAATGAGGCATGGCTAAAATGCATGATCTGTTTGGTATTTTGAAAAAAAAACTTCACAGATATGTTTTATATAGGTATATATATTATTCAAATATAGCATGATAGGTCCACTTTATAGCCAAATGTCACGCATGCTTTGATGGTGTTTGTTCTTGGATTTGTGGCCGTGCACATGCACAAACAAATAGGGTTTATGGATATATGTTGGGGAAGTGACCCTCCTGTCAGTACTGGGGGTCACCTGAGTCACTTGACCATCTCTCATCTCATTGGCTGCCTCAGAGCTCGGCTCAGAGAAAAGCTTAATGCAGCAGATTGAGGACACTTAAACATCCAGCCGAGTGCAGATATTAACACATTAGGAGTAACACGTCCATCCATTTGTTAGAACCTCAGGATGAATCACTCACTGTCACATGTTGACAGCCTGTGTAAAATAAAAAAAATGTTTGAAAATAAAGTTAATGTTTCAGAACACCTTTTTATTGCCATCACATGCTTTATTATCCACACACTCTAAATGTATCCATGAAAGTCTACATTTGTTGTTAATCTTCTCAGTTTCTTTGATTATTTTCCTTTGATTACTTTAATCTTTTAATACGTTTAATTAACTTCATTCACTCAAGCAGGACAGACTTTTGCTGAGACAGGCCGGTTTCTTTAATTTGCTTTTTAATATAACAGAAAATGTTAGATATAATTACTAATTAACACCAAATAAGATGGTGGAGATAAAAACCTTCATTAAACAGAGATTGCCAATTAAAGTGCCGTAAACAAATGTCAAGATGGCCCTGTTTTAGTGAAGCTTAATGACGTTCATGTTGGCAAACTGTTTTTAAACAATAATGTAGTGTGCGGGAAGATGTCAATACTTTTTTAAATATAGCTCCTTTATGATTTATTCATTTTTAGATTGAGTCTTTTTGCTCAATATAAGCCATCCAATTAAAGTTACATTTGCTAACTTACTACAACTTCAAACCGCCCACAGTTGTCATTTCTGCTGGAACAAGTTGATAAAAAGTTGGTTGTTATAAACGAAAAACTTCCTCTGTCCATCATCATCACTGTAAACGGCATACTGTATGTACTGTAAGGAAATGGTAAACCTGATTGACGAAGCAACATTAAGAGGGTATAGAGTTGCGCAATTATTTAAGTATATATCTATTATAATGCTTAGTACATTGAGGAAAGTGGAAATGCAGAATCATGACAGGATCATAATGCTGAATGTGGATCCTGCCAGAATCCTTTATGAGATGCTGAATAGTTTATACAGAGCAATGGGCTATTTGTCAAGGAGAGATAGGCACAGTATCTGTGGCTGTTCCTTAGGTATTCCATTACTTAATACAAAATCCCAGCTGCAACCTATTGGGAAGTAAATGGAATCAAAGTGGTTGTGAAGTGAAGTACTTTTGGTGGGCCGATGATAAAGGGATGAAGAAGAAAACACTGGCGGATAACAGGTGAAAGGAAAGAAATCAAAAGGCAAGGAACGTGGTGACAGAAGTATGTAGAGAGAGCAGATGAACAGATTTAGATCTCTGAGATGAAGAGAGATGAAAAAAGTATTTGCATTTTTGAGCGAGGGCTCCACAAAGAAAAAGACAACGAGGAAGCAGAGGGACACGAGCCGTGAGCAGAGGAGGGGTATGCTGAGTGACTGATAAACTACCTTTTTTCCCACATGGGTTTATAATACTGAGAACATGAGTAACACATGGACCGAAACATAGAAAAGGGCATGAAAATAAGATCAACATACATAGTGCACATTCAGGACACCTCTCACTTTCATGAAGTTACCGTCCAGCATGAATAAGTATGAGGAAAGACTTTGATATAACCTCTCAGCAGTGTGTCCTCCCTCTGCCCGGATCCGTGGAGAGTTAAAGGGAAAGCAGTGGAGGCTTCAGCAGGGTGGAGGCAGGGAGATAGAGCAGCAGGCAAGATCTTAAAAGGAAGGTGTGGCTGTTCTAATGTTTTGACTAACAGTCGCAAATTCCCTTTAAATCCAGTCTGCTGGGAGTTCTGTGCCTGTGGGGTGCTGATTAGGAGGAGGATGAAGAAAGGAAGAGACCAAGGTAGAGGAAAGGAAAGGGAAGCCAGCCAACTACTATTTAAAGCTGTGAGGGAACAAACAGATTCAGGGCATGGTTTTGGGAAAGCTCAAAGGAAGAAAGCGCGATAATGAGGGAAAAACATAACCTGGGTGTTGCGCTTTCTGAGCTGTCAGGTTATTCGTTAGTTTATATAATCATTTTACTATTACAGAAGCAATACCAGTTATGTGAAGCCATGATGGAAATCATGTTGCTTTACAGATTGTAGAACAACTTCCATTGTCACATCAATGATTCGGTGTTGGAATCAGAGTGACAACCACAGTGGACATCTGGGCTACATATTCTTTTCTGAAAGTGAGCTAAGCCAAGACACAGTATGGCAAGCGCTAATAAAGAATCTGTACTAATGCTGGACAAATTTGACTCAACTTTGATTAATGAATACTGAAAAATAATCTTTAGTTGCCTGAACATAGTTGTGTTTTTATATGTTGATTTCAAGGATTAGTGTGATATTTTGGTAAATTATTGTTTTGCTGATAATTACATGTAAAGATACCACTCATTTCTGTGGGTTAAGCTTAAGAAACGACTAGCCTGGCCCTTTCCGAAAAATCCACCTTTCAGCATATCTATTGTTCAGTAATTAACACATTTCATCTAATCTTTTTAATCTGTATAACATCTGAAAGGTCAAACCCTACATTTGTGGTTTCATGGGGGATTATCTGATGGACTATAACTTGGATTAGTCCATTTTAAGAGTGTTGTCTTCATTATGTAGTTGCCGGACAATCGTAATTGGTTTTCTTTGAATAAAGACAATCTAGCCTGTTTCACTGTGTTTAAGAGTTTTGACTCTTGACGATTGATAACTGCTGCTGACTTTATATTTATCCTACATCGTATCAATCTTTTCATTGTGTTTTTCCCAAATTGCCAATTATTTTTAACTTCAGAGGTACTTTCTTCTCGTTTATACAAGGTAAAACTTATATCATGCAGTACATCTCTCTGTTCCTTTTCTATTCTTACATTTACAATGGCCTCTTTGGTCTGTGCCATGTCGGAAATGACGCCGTCTGTGATGATGAGGAGCACAAAGTACTGAGAGCCGTCCTGCACCGCTGCTGCATACCTAAGCGCACAAACACACACAGATACAGGCAGAAGTTAGATGTATAAACTCTTTAATTCAAGGACAGATCAGGTTTTAGGATTTGTTGATGCATTTCTCTGATCATTGCTGTGGAAAAAAACTTGTTATCATGCACTCTCAGACATTTTATTAAACATTGTTGTTGTTTTACTTCAGGTAACACTCATTAAAATGCCTCACAAACACACATTGATCAGCCAATACAATGAAGTTTAGTACAAGGCTGGTTTGCTCTGCTTGATTCATAGATAAACACCCTTTGTTAAACATGTCTTCTTACATGAGTTCACCTTTTCAAATGCTAAATACCAATACTGGTTTTGTATTCTCACTGTTAGGGCTCTCGGCCGCAGTAAGTGAGATTCCATTTTTATCAGAATGACATTTTTAATTAAAATGGAGCCTTGCTGTGATCAGATGGAGAACTGTTTGGATATGGCTCAAAACATTAGAGGGAGAGGGAAGCCAAGACGATGGCTGTCGGGGGGCACAAGAATACACTCAGATCCTTTTTATGTATTGCAATGGTATGTGGGTATATTTGAATGGTCACAGGCTTTTTTATCCCAGCTAATTCTGCAACTATTTCAAAAGCTGTCAGCCAAATAAAAAAAAATCAAATTCAAACATCTGGCATCAAGTTTGTGTTGCAGGACAGATGTTGTCTGGGTCAGAGGAACAGTCGCACAGGAAATTGAAGCCAATGGAGTCTGGCAGTGGGAGATCTTAATCTTGATCAGCTAACATTGAGGCGCAAACATTTCTCCTTCATCGTTGATGATAAACAAATAAAATATATCTTTCTTAGGTTTGTTGGATAAACATTGAACAGTGTCTCCTGCTGTCTGAAGAGAAACACTTATTTAAAACGCACTATTGTGAGAAGATCTGTTCTAACTGTTTTTATCATTGTGTTTTTAAGATTTGTATGGTATTATCTGGGGATCCAATCTGTTATCTGCCAGTGCCAAAGACAACATTCAATTTGATGTACATTTTCATGTGAGGACCAAAAAGGTAGACGTTTTTCATTAGATGCTTTGTCCTCTCACCTGGCAACATGATTCACCACAGGAGCGAAGTTCGTTGGCCCGTACAGCTGCACTGTCTTCAGACTCTGGTGGTATGCCTCTAAGATCCCCTCGATGCCGTTGCAGTACGGATTTTCAATGTCTCCATTCTGAAAAGGAGCAAAACTGTGAAAATCATGGACTTGGTGATTGCAATTATCAAACAAAGAAACTCAAGATCTTTATCAATGTTTATTAGATGTCATTTACTTAGTTCTTATGAACCATGACATGCACATTACTAATAATTTGCCACATTATAATAGAAAATTCAGTGGTAAAACTTTGTGAATTGGAAATAAAAAATCATGATGAAAGATCAGTGAACAGATTAATCAAAGGTGATATTAGGAGAGGTTGACTTTACCAGAGGAAACTCGTGAGAAACTCGTCCGTCGGGGGGCAGTTTGGCTCCAAAGCCCAAAGCGGGGAACATCTTGTCGCTGTCGTAGTCCTGAATTATCTCCCCTACAGCCTTCAGGGCCATGGCGTAGGCGTTCAGCGAGTAGGGATTCATGTAGTGCAGCGAAGTCGACTGGGAGGGGTTACCTACGGACCCATCAATCAAACTCCAGGTCATTGTGGGTAATGAAGGACAAAGACGTCACTTCTACATTTCTAGATACTGTTTTTTGTGCAATGAGAGGATTTAAAATGTAGATATATTTTTATGGAGAGACAATTACAGAGATGAAGGGCACTGCTACGCTCAGTTTGACTAAGTGAGAGACTGAGTGTGAGACAGACAGACAGGAGATAGCATGAAAGCGTAGGAATAAGCTGGCAGGGCTCTTTGGATCACAGAGCCTTTCTAAAAAAGTTCCGAAGCACTAGGAGCGGCAGGACAGAAAATGGTGGGTAACATTTAGGCTAGCTCAACACAGTGGGAAAATAGGGTTAGGGTTAGTTACAAAAAAAAAATTACATAACAACATAAAATAGGATTTTCCTTTAGGTAACCTGTAACTCCACAACAAGCCCACTTTAGCTAATGAAATTCTCCTTGGCCTTCAAAGTAAAACTGGTTGTTACAAATAAAGGTAGTGAGCTTAAAAGCCAGGCTAACATTTGGATCTCTATCAGAGCAGATAAACATCACATTGAACACTTTTGCGATTGTGTTTTTGGTAGCTTATATAAAGACCCATGTACAACTTTTCCATGTGAAAGCTTGACAGAATTGCTGTGCCTAGTTACGGTTGTTAAGCTTTTATTGGACAGTTGCTGTTCTGAGGAAGTTTTACAAACAATCAATTGGAAAATGAGAAATTCCAATGACCCTTTTAATAATAGCTTTTCCCTGTCGATAAATCAATAGAAGCATTGTTTTCAGGTATTTTATTGGGTAGTGTAATAAGACGTAAGTGTAGTCCTTTCATGTCAAGCTTAGAGTTGTATTGTTTTATTGCATTCTTGCTAAAATGCCTTAACTTGGAGTGTATTGACAAAGCATTTAGGAGGAAGAATATCCAGGAAAGGCTATCACTTATTGTGACGATGTGTGTACATGTGCGCTCGCACTGTGTGTTGTCTGATTGATTCTAAAATCGGACATGCCACTTTCAAAGAGCACAACTATCTATCCCTGCCTCCCCCTCCACACCCACTTTGCCGTTAGTATCACTCACCATTAGATGCTGTGAAATCAATGGCCACGGTGAAATTGATCTGCGTTCTATAAGAGGGATGGAGAAGAAAAATCAACGGAAGAGACCAGACAGTTATAAAATAAGACAGGCCTCATTAAATACCAGCACTCGCACACACCCGTCCCATACACACATTTTTTGTGATATGAGAAAAGATGATACCTAAAACGAAGGAACATCAAACACAAAAATAGCCAATTATTTCTTATTATGATATAGTTTCACACAGATCAATATTTAATTCCCGTTGGTTTTTTGAGAGATACAGGGTGCAGTCTCTCAATCGTCAAATATGATTTAGGTGATTACGCTCTTATCTGACTCTCACCTCCCGTGAGAAGGCGTAGCAGGAGGTGCAGATGAGCCTTTGAGACACTGAGCTGTGTAACAAGCAATTGATGGAGCACTTAAGAGCAAATCATAATCCAATTTCCCCTGCTGATGAAGCACTTGCCTCTTCTCGCTAATTTACGACAATGAGACGAGGCCTTAGGGGCCCAAGCGACATTCTCTCGTAATCTATGAGAGCCATCAGAGAGGAAGGTAAAAGACTGGTATTAAAGGGATGGTGTAAAATATTCACATTAACCTTTCAGTTTGAGGGTTGGGACGCGGCAAAGCCTGACCCTGATAACTTTAGTATTCATTTGTCTTTATTGCATAAATTCATGACTTTGTGAATTCTCGAAAAAAAGAGAATCACACTTTGTTTTCTAAGAATGTACTCTTCTAAGTTTCTTTTACTAACATGGTTTACCTACCTTCACTTAAACAATTGCCATCTATCTATCGCTCTATCAATGGGTTTACTTTCCCAAACGATCTTGCAACTACCACCAAATGTAAAGAAAAAGAACATTTATATGTATTCATATTTCATTTATTAACAGCATAGTAAGTAATCCAGTGTTTCCCCTATATATAAATAGCGGCGGCGCTGCTAGGGGGCGCCAGCCAGGTACCAAAAACCTTTTTTTATTAAAGTAATAATAAGTAGTGACCCTTTTTGATTTTTGATTGTTTATGTGGATTTGTAGTATTTGTGTTACTGTATGTTCAATGAAGGTGTATTTAGCTAAATCTTGAGACATTGCCACTGTATGTACTAGGCCTCGAGAGCCTTTCTTGTGCTGGCAGACACATAGAAACTTAATGGCGGGGCGCACTTTGCACGCGCACACACAAAAAATGTCCTCGGGGAAACACTGTAATCTGATGTTGTGTTTTTACACCCCATGTTAAGAGCAATCACAACGTACATGCCGTGATCGTCAGCATACAGTAAAATGCTTGCTGAAATATTTTTGGTGGTTAAGTTCATTCGTCGAGTCCACTTTGTTAACATAACAACACTGTGAGTGTATCCCAGATTTCACTACTAACTAAAGTGAGATGCTCATATATTTTGGCAGTCTCTTGCCCCTTCTGTTTAACCTTTGTAAAATGTTCATGCTTGAATTTTCGAATTACACTGCAGTCTTGTTGTGTAGTAGTTGAACTATCTTGTTACTTTCTTTCTTCCCTACCATCTCATGCCTCACTCATTCCCTTCTCTTCATTCTCTAAGGCTAAGTGTGACAAAACCTTTGCTGAACTTTTACTATCAATTCTTGAAGGCAATAGCACACACTGTGCTTGTTGTTTTAGCTGTTGCAACACTGCTTTATCTTAATTCAAGTTCTAGAGCGGTAAAAGCTAATGTTATTAATGTATTAACGGGATATGAATGCAGTGAACCATAATAAGCACAGAGTGATGGGCTCTATCATTATGTTCAAAGTATAATATGTCCTACCTAACCACTGCACTCATGAGAGATACTTTTGAGTTCTTTATAAGCCAAATTATCCCTATTATTTTTATGATTATGGTGGCTTTCAAAGAAGACATACAAGCTTCTAGACTAGAGTACACTTTGCATCATGATGAAAGGAGTTACGCCAAATGATACCGAAAAGTGCTTTAACAGCTAGCCGAAAATACTTTTACTTTTGATGTTTCTCAAGTTTTTTTATGCCGTAAAGTGCTTGGACAGTTTAAACGACGCATTTCCCGAACCTGTATCCATTTTGTACAGAGCTCCACATTTGCAAGATCCAACTCTTTAATGTGTCATGCAGTAAGTGCCAGAGTAATGTTAGAGCGTAGAGTGATGGGGATGATATTTTTGAAGTAAGGCCACTAAACCTTAAGGTTATTGTATCATTGATCAGCCAAAGCTAGGAACTGTCAGTGAAATCTGTCACACTTGTCAGCTCTGCCATAGCTCATAAAACCTATGACAGCCTACCCGCTGTGACGGGAGAGTGGAGATCAAAGCAGAGCCCGACCGGTCTGAGACACACTTCACCTGAGACACACTTAATGTTCAAATGTCAACCTCCGGCTCTGAAACTAAACTGGTCCAAACGTTGTTACCCATTTTGAAGATGGTTCGGTCTTACCTCATTTAAAATATATTTGGCACTTTAGTACTGCAGTCAGCATAGAGTGTGAATTTATTAATCTAATTACCAAAGTGAAGGTATTATGGTGCCACTTAATGAAAAATGAGGCAATAGAGATATATGAATTTTAATATAATTGTATGAAGATTCATAAGTAAGTTACAATCTAGATGTTTTATATTAGTGTGCACTGCACGTCCCAATCATTTCCGTCATTCTTAGTTCAGTACTGTAGTTTCGGCCAACATCGCTTTCAACAAATAGCCAGTACACAAACTGCTCTTGTTTGTTCACAGCTACATCATTTCTCACTTTATAATCTCTGTAACACACACATGGCTCCACTGTCTCGCAATAGAAGACATTAGTGTTGCTGACACAACATACGGCTCCATTAAGGAGTTTATAGCTGGATAACACTCTTTAGTTTAAAAAAACACTTTCAAAATGTTTGTTCCTGGGCCAGAAGAGAATCAACGTTGGGCTTGAAGAAACTGGAAGAAACCCTGCTTCCTTTATCAGAATGATCCTTTAGAGCTAATAGTAAACAATTAAAGGTGGGGTAGGTAATTTTGGAGAAACCAGCTCGAGTGCGCTAGAATTTGAAAATACACAGCCGGAGAAAATCTGCCACTTCCTTACAGAGCCCCTCCTCCAACACACATGAACGCGCACATGACCAATGAGGGCACGAGATAAGTTTGTGCACAGATGGAAGGCTGACAGGCAGGTAGGCCATCCAGTTATTTTAGCCGGGCCGGCTAAAATGATTGGTCGTACTTTTTACAGTATTACGGCTTCCACAGATGACATTTTTTTTATGGATTTTTTGTCAAAGCACTTAAGATATTCATTGCTATCGGGATGTTAAGAGCATTCCATGGAATATAACAAAAAGTGTATCTCGAGCCGGTTTCTCAAAATTACCTACCCTACCTTTAAATGGGGAGCATTTTCCTGGGAGTTAGTTGAGCAGAAAGTGCTTGAAGGAAAGGGGGAATTACCAGGTGGCCAGAAACACATCTCCCATACAAATGCTGCTAAGGCTCTAAATAGTTTACCAAGCTTCTACAGTTAACCCACGCCGAACAAGAGGTAAAGTGGCCATTTCATGGTCAGTTATTGTATTGTATTGTAGTCATTTCCACTCACCCTCCTTTGATGTAATCTAAGAACGTGAACTCTGACTCCACTGAAAACGAGAGCAAAGTCACCTGGAATTAAAGACAAGGAGAACAACTTGATCAGAAAAAGTGGTTATGATATAACAGTATCTTCCAATAAACTGTTGTAGTTAAGTCTCACTTTAAAAAAAGATGATAGCCGGCTGGTTTCTGATCACAGATTAATGTACATTACCAGAGGAAAGTTTGAGAAGAGGATGAGAAGCATTTGTATGCATTACTCGCACACACTGCTGTGAAAGAACATTGGTGTCTCGTCTGTGTCGCGCACTCTGATCTTTAACATCTTCTAATATGTATTTCAAGTGCTGCAGCAACTTCATCTTTTATTTTGTCCCACCCACATACTTAACTGACACCCAAAGTCCATGTTGCATGTTCAGATACAGTTTATGGTATGTAGTATATAATGCAGTGTGTTTGTGTACAGACATTCAAATACACGTACATATAACATAAAGTATGTTTTTTAGCTTCAGCTGAATTTCAAAACCATTACTGAATCTGCAAAGCTACGTTTCTTTTGCTTTTTTAACAAATGTTTTTGATAATTGGTATGTGATCCAAGAAGTCACTTTTTCATAAAATAAAAATGACAGAATGGCTTATTTTTCCTATAAACCAGTCCTGGTTGCTATAGCCATACTCACTGTCCCAGAGTTGGCATATTTCTTTTTCTTCATTTTCTTCTTGGTGTTAATCACCTAAAGAAATACAAGGTACAGGTTATCAAAAAAGAGAATATTTTGGCCATAAATTAAAATAACCAACATAAAGATTAAACCAACATATACAATTCAATCTGCTTTCAAATCTGAATTCCAGATTTAGCAGCGATTTATCAAGATGATACAGTTTCTGCATCCCAGTGACGTGGAGGAAGTTAAGGGAGGTGACAAAGGACGTTTGTGAATTAGCATAGCTCATGTAAACTTATGAACATTTATTATACCTCCATAACGCTATTACAGGGGCAAGTAAAGAATTTCAAACATAAATATCAGGCTACAAAGAATCGATGGTTGAAACAGGCTTAAGCTACAAGACTTACATTTATTGTACTGGTATTCTAGTGGCTCCAGAACAAGAAAAACATGTCAATCCGTAGACCAAAGACGTCTCGGCTCATTACACTCATCCTCTATGGCAGCTAGCCATGAAAGTGACAGCCCCTAATTTAACATGGAGGAATGGCAATTTGTCTGACACACTGAACAATCTGCTGATGCAAAGACTAAAGGGCCTTTCAGTCTCACTGGGAGGTAGAGAGGAATCAAGGGTAGCGTATAATGGAGCTGACATCTAAAAGACAGGTATTTGTCTGTCGACTGGAGGCTACCAACCCACAGGAGCTGAAACTATTGACATGTCCTTCTTTATGGCTCTTTATTTTTCTTCAATTCAAATTGTTATACTCATATTCTTAAAAGTACAAATATCTTTGATAAATACAATGATAAATCCTGCTTCCCAAAAAAAGCAATTTGGGATAAATGCAGGACGCATGTCATTTTTACGCTTTGCCAGTCACCCCTTGGATTGTGGGACGTTTTAATGAGTTGCGTTTGTAATTTGCATACAGAGCTGTTGTATCGTGTGCTATTAAGGGGCGAGTAAAGCTATCCCATGAGAAGAACTGAGAAATGTCTTTCTCGATCTAAGTCCCTGGATTGTTTTTCTATTAATCCGGTTTCAAGCTGTTGCTAATAGCTCTATTTCTATGCGAGTCAACCCACAGGTGATTAGTGGCAAAGTAAATCTAATGACAACTAAATCATTTAAAACTGAAGCATTTAATTCAATGTTTAACTGTTGGGGCAGTTAAGGGAGAGATAATGCACCATACAAATGACATTTAAAGAAATAAATTAGGAATGTATAGAATAGGAATGCAGGAGTGAAGGAATGGAAGGAATCTGCTGGTGTAATGGAAAACAGTGCAACAATGATGTCAGATGGAAATGTCATTTGTGTCAGAAATGGGATACAAGACGTGAGGCATAGTCGGATTCCAGATCTCAGGAGCCAATAGACTCGTTGTTGAATTGTGAAAACACTGGAATTACTCACCTCATACACATTGAACTGGCTCTGCCCTCGAGCTAGCTCTCGGTAGCTTGTCGTAAAATCCCCAATGAAGTCGTGGCTGGGAAAAGGAATGAAAGGAGAGAAACAACAGTCAATAAGAAAAAAAATATCAGGCGAAAATACCAGGACAAATGTCAGGGACAAAATGGATTCACGCGACGGGAAATAATCAGTTTCTTGGGTGAGCCAAAACTTGGCCTATGTTTCGATTCAATTTCATTTCAAAATTGCAATTACACTCACCTGCCATCTCTATCCCAATCGTACACCTCCACCTTGATTGTTCTGGGGAAAAAACAGATACACACAATCAGGTTTGATTTTAAAGCAGCCACAATCTCACCACAACTCCCATCCAGTAGCTTGCTGTGGATCTTTTGATCACATGACATGAGCAGATTGGGCTTACCCATTTGACATGGAGTTATAAACGTACCAAATTACTCATCAAACTAATACGAACAGTTCCATAAAGGTGCTTTGAAAAATTGGCTTCTTCTATTTAGAAGTAGCGCAGCTCACCAATGCTTGAAATTAATCTCTGAAGCACAGCATTTAAAAATAGGGGGTTTCTTTCAGTGTCAATATCCTGTGGAAAAATTGCAAAAACTTCAACTTCACTATTGTCATTAACGCTAATTGAATTAACAAGGACAGGTGAAAGCTGCCAGAGGTGTGTGCTGTTTCATTTCACCCTTTGAGCCTGGGAGTTTTCAATGCCAAACACATCAGACCCATCATCACTTGAGTGTTTCAAGGAAGAGAAAAAACCTGAATGTTTATTCACGCACTCGACTACAATGGTTGTCCTTCAGTTTTGTGTGTTATTGACTGAATGATTCACTGGATCTTATGTACTGCAGGTTTGTTTACAAATTAAACTGGATTCCATTGTTTTTTTGTTTGGAAATGGTAATAGGGGATCCCTGAAATAAATTAAAACGGATGTCGCTTTGTTCCAAACCTGGGATTCTTGCCAGCTTCAGAACAAGGCTTAGCAGCTGGCTGCACGTTGCACTCTTATAAAGCACTTTCCAAAAATTGTTACTTGCAAACCTCAGCACATGTTAACTTCCACCAGTCAAAAGAACATCAAAGAAAAACACTGTGATGACATTTGATACAAATGCTGCAGAAAACAATGTCCCTGCAGAGCGAAGAAGAAAAAAAATACTTTTTGGCACTTTCATTCCTGAGACACATTGATCTCACCCCCGCGTCTCCCCTCTCCTCCCTACTTCTTCTTACACAACTACTGACACCAGACCAGATCCAAAGGAAATGGAAGCAAGCAGTGCATCAGAGACTCTTTTCCTGTCACTGAGGAATTGAAAGGTGCCTGAAATAAGCCCAACTTCCTCTCTGCCACCTGGCTCTCCCATTTTGTGGTGACAGCTTGTGCTTTTGAGGTTATCTTCAAGGCTGTGAGAGAGAAAATGTGCACCTAGGTGGTAAAAACATGATGCTAGTCGTCCAGCATGGAAAATAAAGGGGGTTGGTAGTGGAAAATACAGGAAAATATAAATCCTAACGCAGAGAAAGAAAAGTGAATCATCCCTGACCATTCAATATGCAGGGCTCGCGCTAGGTGCTGCGGTTTGAATGCAAACCATTTTCAAAGTACCAGGATGCTGCTTCATACCAACTCAAAGCATTTGCCATCATTTATTTCAACTTACAGCTCCATTGAAGGACTCAGATGCTCAGATCATTGAGTGGCACATTCAACTCCCAGAACAATATACACTCCAAAACTAATCTGCCTCAGATATCCTCAGCTACTTTTCTAAGGCATCTTTTTAACAATCCTTCAGTAACAAATATCTGTCTGTGATATTTTGCAAGAGGCGGAAATAGTCTTCGCTTGAGTCACATGGGAGAGAATACTGGAGAAAGTCCAGTATACAGGGGATATGAAGGATACAGTACAGAAGAAAGAAGGATAAAAAAAAGAAATCCATTATAAAACAACATCGCTTTCAATTCTCTCCAAAACTTCCCCATCCTCTTTTCTTTGACATGCTCTTCTTGAAGAGGACCTTTTACTTATTGGATTTCTGTTTTTCCTTCTATAACCCTTGCCTTTGCTGTCTGTTATATGTTATTCCTCTCCTTTAATTCCTCCCCTTACTCTTTCCCTACTTCAATTTCCTTCCTTCAACTGTGCTTTGTATTGTGCTCAAATATAGTCTTCGAGAGCAGATTGCATGTATGTTTGCTCTCTGTCACCACAGACTTAACCTGATCCTGCTGCTTGAAGGACAGTCTGTGTAATGACTATGCCACCCAGTCGATAGCCAACAGAGAGTGGAGGTTTAATTTTATTTTGCAAGATATTCTTAAAGGTTACAAACAAATCTGACTAGGATATGGTTGACAGATAGCCTTTGGCGATGATCCACATCTGGCATTTCTGGTTGTTGTTTTCTGGCTATAACAAGCAACACTTGAAACACCAATTACAGATTTTATGCAGCAACAGTTGGACATGGTCCAGTGGCTTGTAGCCTTTGTTCGTTCATGTTGAACATTGGTATAGATGTGGCTTCTGTCAACAAATGTTTTAACGTTATAATGAAAGATAATGACACACCCTGTTCTTTGTAGTGATTGCATGGATAAACTGCTCCACGTGTTCTAATATCAATACGACAAATAATTATCATTCCTATTACCAATATCAATCCAACACCATTCCTTCTTTCAACCTATAATCAATATCCTGCATTACTGCATGACACTGCTGCATCCATTAGTCAAATGAGGCTGCTACTACACTGCAGGAGTTTTCCAACAGCAGTCGCACTTACACAACTTTTCTATTTTTAATTGAGATAAAGATTTGATTTGGAAACTGGTTTGAATGCACATACTTGTTTTTGTTTCATGCAACACAATATTGGCCTTTTACAGAAGTCTGTACAGGTGAGACATTCAGCTCAAATGAAGCACATTGCTGAGATATGTACAGTCCCTTCAATCCACATCACACTGCGTCTTTGTCTCAGGAACATTCATTTTTACACACATTTTTTTGTTTCTGTTATTTCTTGCAAAATTTGTATTGGTTTTATCCATTTTATGTCCTATATATATTCATAATGCATTGTTGGAGGAGCCTGGGACTTACGTTTTTAATTTCCATATCTACATTGTAGCTACTGTGCATATGACAATAAAGCCTTGAATCTTGAAGGAGAGTTTGAATGAGATTTACTTTATTTATTAGTTCCATAGATACCGGTCTGAAGTGAGACAAGACTAGTAGGACTAGAGTGCAGTCCTATTTTCAAGTGACTGTATATAGGTTTTTATGTGTCTGGCTCGAGAAAGACAGTCATGCAATCTTCTGGAGGAGTGCGTCATCTCACAGACACTGACATAGTCTTGCTTAGCTTGATGCTTAAAAGTTAGGTTTGAGAGCACAATGCAGCTTTTGGATTTCACCTTTTGGTGCATCTAACAAGAGTGTTCAAAGCTGTGATCTTATTAGAGCCGAGCAAATCACCAGTAGGCCATCCACTGACGTACTTCAGCAGACTTCTACTACTCGACAGATAGAGGTGCGTCAATGCCTCCTCCATTATGTGCTGTAGTGAAGTGCCAGCTCGGAAAACAACAATAACTGCCTGTCCATGTACAACAGTAATAAACACAACAATGCTCCTTATGCAACTCGTACTATTTATAATTTATCGATCGTTTTGGATCAAACCCTCAGACTTTGAGATAAAGCATATTGAAGAGTACGAGAGACTCATACAGAGCTTGTATAACCTAATGTAGGTTATCCCTAAAAGTGTGTTTCTTTCCATTATTCTATACAAAACAAATGTCACTTTGCACATAAAAAACTTGAGCGGAAACACTGGAAATGCCTTCCCTTTTCAATGGTTTGAATGTACCCAACGAGAGGGATAGTGGCCCTATCTGTTTATCTTGATGCAACCAACTCATCTATGTCATATTCATGGGAACACATCTCAAATAAATTGAGGCTTTGTGAGATTTTGGCAGAATCCTAGGTGTCGAGGGCTCTGCAAATCCTCCATTTATCTGCTTGAGGTCACAAGAGGCCTCAGTTTGACCTTCTGCAGACTTTCAGAGTGACTTTGCTGAATTATTTAGAATTGTTGTTATAATCTGCAAAGTTAGGCAGGCAGTGTTTGGTTTTTTATTCCATCTGCGCTGTGAGGATTTTCAGTCGAGGGCTTATTGTGAGTATAAAGTTAGCATTATTAATCATCACATGTAAAGAGACAACTAATGAATTATCATCAACTATTGATCTTGCATTAGTTGCCAATATAACCACGGTAAAAGAACCATTTAGAACAAATACTTCAATTCATGTTCTCGGAAACATTGAGGTCTTAAATCACTTCTTTAATACAAATGTTTATTTAAAAAAAAAAAAAGAGAAAACCAATTCGTAGTTATTTAAAGAGACTTGTCTAGGTTTCTCTTTTGTATGTTTACTATTGCTCTTTATTAAAGGTATCAAGTTTTTCTTATCTGATTTCTTGGTTATCGATGGGATAGTCAATAATCGATGACTGAAATAATCAATACCTGCCGCCCTAGTCTTAACTGATTTAGTAGATTTTTTTCTCCCCCCCTGCTCCATAGGGTATGGACACCACAGCTTCAATAGAACCTCCAAAGGGCTACCTTCAGATGATAGAAGCAAAAGTAATTACACAGATCAAAATAATTGACAGCGTTGAGACCCATGTTTCTTGCAGAGGTTGAAAAAAATCTATTAGTAGGTCTTAAGAACCTATATAATTAGAAAGACAGACAGTTCTGCCATTCCCCTTTGTCAAAAAACACTGACACAAAGATTATTCCTCACCCACACACAGGTATATAATCTGTTATCGCTGGCTTGTGCTTTTCCTTGCACTATTAATATACATAATATCCTACTTTTATATTGTGTTTGCTGTAAATTGGCACTCAGTGTTTTATTTGGCAGGTAGACAGATTTTTATTGTCACGGTCAACTTGTATATTTTCTGCTTTTGTAGTCCCGTTTTATTTCTATCTTGATCAAAATTTCGGATCAATAAAGTATATCCTATCACCTAGTTTCAGGATGTCTCACAGTGGCTTTATATGGACATATTTTGGTGCATTTTTGCAAGGAAACAAGCAACTTTGATGCCCGACTCAGTCTCTTGTGCATGATTAGCTCTGATAGGATAGCCATCATTCTAAAGCACATGTCTGATTGGAAATATTAGGTATCTTAGCCAGCCACAGTATCGAATACTTCATAAAACAACCCCACCAGTAACCCTGCTCCCTTCATCCTGTTTGGGATTATCGGACTTTTCTGAGCACACACCAGTTTCCCAGCATTCTCAGTAATTAGAGTCTGACTGCGTACAAACAAGATAGGACAGACCCCTTTGAATGAAGGATGAGAAAAGGGAGAGACACAGAAAAAAAGACGCGGTATGCCTCATGAAATATTTACCCCCAAAAATGTAACCTGTCAGTCACTTCTTTTTCATCCTCCCTCACGGCTCCTTCATGATTTTGCTTGTTTTCTTCCTGTCTTTCAAATTAGTGGCAGGCAGATAAGCTGGGAGGAAAATTAATTCATATCCCCCCTGCCGCAACATGTCTACATTAATTACATGACAACTGTGAAGAGCAACCCATCATTATTTTATATTAAGAGTGTTCCTGTTGTTTGCTATCTTATTATTTCTCTCACATTAATCCCCCTTATTTTTATTATTTTTGCCCTGCTTACATTCCTCAACTGAACATTTACTTAACAATGTCGCCTTTACTTACTGTGACATGTGTTATCACAGGTTATTTATTTTTACACTGATAATTTGGTTGAAATGACACCTGTCACAACAGAGGTTATTTTTTACTTTTTATTGCTTCAGACATATGATTTCACCGTTTTAAAATGAAACACAGTGATATATAAAATCAGAATATGGAAATGTCTATTGTATATATATTTTTTTATATCGTTTCTATTGAAATTTAGACCAGGCTTATGAGAATTTCTTGTAGTATTCGGCCAAAATCTGATCAGCTCATTTTCAGACAGGTTTTTATATAAATTAATCAGGACAAAAAGTGAGCGAATCTTTTTCCTGAAACTTTCAGAATCTCTTTACACAGAGGAGACACATGTTTAGGTATAAAAGACATGAAAAAGTGGATTTTGCACAATAGGTGACCTTTACGATGAAAGTGCAATCCATACGTATTGCATCCATACCCTTACCTTTTGCAATGGTGTTTTTGAGTTTTGGAAAGGCGTCATTCTCGACAAGGGTTCAGTGAACAGCCAGTATAGGCACGCTGTTCACCAATTGTTAGTGTTCAAATTGTATACTTATATGGCCCAGATTATATCTGAAGAAGTGTTGACAACAGAATCACCACAAGGATGTCATTGGAGATAAGAGATGCTTGTTGAGCGTGACCCCTGCCCTGCTACTCTAGCAAAGATTGATGCAGAGCGATGTCCTTAGCACACAGCTGCAGAAATAATGTGACAGTTTAAAGAATTGGAGGTTTATCACTGCACCTGGTTGAATGGATTTCTGCTTAAACCCATCGACACACAGGGTGTAATGGCTGTCATCCGTTTGCAGTTTGTCATTCAGAGAGATTATCGTTTGGAGCCATGAAGGCAGTCGATAAATTCAGCCAACAGAAATCAATGAAAGTTGAAGATGTCAATGGGGTCGACATTATAGACTATTCTAGTTGTGTGTGCACGTTTTTCTATATGTGCATGTGTGATTAGAGACATAAGGATACATTGAGCCAACTGTGAAAGATGGCGATCAGAAGGTGTGGGGGAAGCTGCATCGTTTAGTAGGTAGGAGGAGGAGGTAGTGGTGGTCTAATGGATAGTGAGGTGGGCTGAAGATCGGAAGGTCGTGAGTTCAAATCCCGCCTGGAACACCACCACTAGTGTGCCCTTGAGTAAGGCACTTAGCCCTTAGTTACTCCAGGGAGAATGTCCCTGTAATTGGTAATTGTAAGTCTCTTTGGATAAAAGCGTCAGCTAAATGTAATGTAATGTTTACCTGTCGTAGTCTCCATTGCAGAGCGCTCGTACTGGGATAGCGAAAGGCTGCCACACTGGATTTAATGTGTTCTTCACCACCTCAGTTTTATGGCAGATAGTAAACCTAGAGGTGGAGAGAAATTAGGAAAATATATTAAAAAAAATAAAAATAAACAGAGAAAGAAATGTTGACATTATGTTTTATATTACAAAAGCCAGGGAGAAAGATTCATTTTCAAGTAAGGGGATGAGGCTTTGAGGCAAGCTGTAGCTCCTCTAAAACAAGCCTAATGTCAAGTCCTACAGTCACAGGAGAGGTGCTTTAAATAGGGCTGTACCCATCTTTGTTTATCACTTGGCTTGACTCCCAGCAATATTGTGTGTTAGACCCCGGAGAATAACTTGATATTTTGGTCTGGCTTTTAAATCCTTTCCCTTGACCCTAAGTGTGACAATGATATGCAAATGAATTCCTCTGATATCTGAAATGCTTCGCTGAGCAGAGTCAAATAAATTGCTATCAAATGCCGCCAAATATCCTCTCCAAAAGCAACAAGGCTTTTTGACTTGTGCCTCAAGCCTTTTAAAACCATGTTAGTCCTTTAGCTGCATAGACCTCTAATTTGTAACCCCCCCCCCCCCCCTCTGGCAGCAAACACAGATACTGCTAGCACATCTTTGGAGATACATTTCCCACCCTGTTATGTATAAAAAAAAATACTGCGAAAAGCTGGAAGATGGCTAATGAAGCACTTGCTAAAGCAGCTCCGGTAAGATAGGGCTGACGCTGACACATCTGCGCAGTCCCTCGGGAAGCGGAACAGCACTTTGGGAAGGCGTGAGGAGATGGGGGAAGTGTTGTGAATCCCTCTGTGAATTGCCTTAGAAACTGACACTGTTTTTCCTATTGATGGAAAATGCAGATTTCTCTTATTCTTGCTTTTATGCTATTTTCTCCATTTCCTTTTGGATCTGCTGGAGTCATTTAAGGGAGGTATGGGAGTAGTGGTAGTGTTTTGAACAGGATACTTGCCTCTGTATGCAGTTTTTTAAGTTGTGCTTGTATCCGTGACCACTGCAAGTCTCACCACTCTCCTCTCTTCAATGTTCCTGCTGTTTGTGCCTCTCCCACTTCCCCATGCGATTCCCATCTGATTTTGTTCTGTTACTGTAACCGTTATGATATTGTTCTTTAAAACTCATTTTTCTAAATTGTTTTTCAAAACTCTCATAGGAGCTAATTTAACCTGCTTCAAGAAAGGCAACCTAATATCTACCCTGGATATTGGGGAGCTTGGTAATACAGAAAGCAGCAACTATTGTTTAAATGTGTTTGTCGATAGGATTTTCTTTAATGTACCAGACTTACAGTACATCTCAGTGGAACATGTTTGTCTCAGGGGGCTTCCCTGTCCACTGGCAGCACCTGCACTTCCTTTAAAAACACTTGAAATAACAAAACTGAATCGCATGAAACACTCACGTTCCGTCCTCGTTGCTTCTGTAGAAGACCATGAAAGGGTCCGACTTGCCGAAGAAGTCTTTCTTGTCCAGTTTGTTGGCACAGAACTGCATAGTGGCGCTGTCCTACAGGGAAGCATGGAGATGTGGGGAGAGAAGTGTGAGAAAGGGTTTGGGGGGAAGGGTATATCATAACTTCTCTACAATGGAAGGTATTATTATTATTTATATGGCACTCTTCTTCCCCTGATTCTTCTCTTTTATCTGCTCAGCTCTCAGCAGATGGAGGAAGCTGTGCATTACACAGGCTAATGAATACAGCATCACTGCTGTAGTCTCTGTTCATGTTTATGGGTGTGTGTGTGTATGTGTTTTTTATATGATTGTATTTAGTGTAACACTTCATGTCTGGTCCATTACTGTACACGCTCATACAAGTGTACAATACATAGTGTACATTTACCCACAAATGTAACACAGCTGCTGTTAAAGTAAATAATTTGGAAGAATGCTCTTCACCTATTTGAATGAGGATGTAGATATATTACTTTATTTACTTTGTAGTGTGGCTGTCACCTTTTTCCACTCTATGAACTGCTGGCAGTCAGCCTACCATACACTTTAGCCTTATCTATCACCACAGCCTAATGGTGTGTGTGTGTGTGTGTGTGTGTGTGTGTGTGTGTGTGGGTGTGTGTGTGTGTGTGTGTGTGTGGGTGTGTGTGTTGTGTGTGTGTGTGTGTGTGTGTGTGTGTGTGTGTGTGTGTGTGTGTGTGTGTGTGTGTGTGTGTGTGTAGTGTGTGTGTGTGTGTGCTGTGTGTGTGTGTTGTGTGTGTGTGTTTGTGTGTGTGTGTGTGTGTGTGTGTGTGTGTGATGTGTGTGTGTGTGTGTGTGTGTGTGTGTGTGTGTGTGTGTGTGTGTGTGTGTGTGTGTGTGTGTGTGTGCGCGCGCGCAAGTATGCAGGCATTTTCATCTCCAACCATTGTACCCTCATCCACCCACCTGTAGTCGTGCTAACGTCAGTGCCAGCTGCTTACCAAGTCTAATTCTAGCATTAGTAATTGTCATCAAGCTAACCTATTCTGATACCTGTCACGGCATCTGGAAAGCAACAGATGCTATATTTCAGCCTCAGAGAAACAACAAACTGCTCTGGGTCTTGTATTTTTCTAATATCCTTTGAAGGCTGCTTTTGCATCTTGTTATAATCAAATAAAAATGATGTTGTTTTCCATTTAGAGCCATTTCAGAACTTGTGGGTATCATTCTGATTGGAAACTATGTTCCTAGATAGCCATAGTGTACTTCAGTAGATATTAATCAAGAATTGCAAGATAAATCTTAAACTACTAAAAATATTTTATTTATTTTAGTAATTACCTATAAATTAAAATTGAAATGTAACACTTTAATCACAGAATTTCTGTTAATAACTATGATAATTGTTTTTCTTCCATTTCCAAACTTCTCGACTTCAGTTCTTGAATGTGTAAGCATGGAGCCTTTTTGATATTTTCCAGTGGTATGCCAGAACAACTAGGTTAGGTATCAGAACTGAAAAAAGAAAACAATGCCAAGTGGTGTTGAAACTCCTATGATCAAACAATACCCGTATCAAGATGATGAAGAAAATAAATTCTATTTGTATATATTTATTTTGCAGCAAATCACTGCGACCTGTGATTGGCCCACTACGACCGCAGCTAGAGCCCATAAGTCTGTATGGAGTACAGTATGGACAAAATTACACTTTGGCACTTTGTTGCTATCCGTATCGCATTAAGGGTGCCGGGTTCTTAACATTTGAACGATACACAGCCCAACTTTACTGTATTAGTATGTTTCTTGCAGCTTCCATAATTGTCGCTGTAAACCGACTCTTGTTCTTTCTCCATTTACCCTCACTCTCTCAGGAATGAGCCTGATTATGTTTTTTTCTCCACCAGTTGTTTATCATGATGTGTAAGGCTTTTACCATCCCCAAATATAAATCCCATTACTGGTGGTGAGGCTTGTACAACTTGTTAACTGTTACCCCTCCCTCTTCATGGCCTGTGTGGTGGCAGTGCAGGAGGGAACTTATCTCTGGTGAATAGGCTGTGGCTAATCTCTGCTGCACAGTGGGTTCATTACAGTATGTTCAGATGCTGTAACAGTAGATTGCTGTTGCTGTCAGGGCTCGAGCCTTACTCTGCGGGCCATGGTGCCACTAATGATCACTTAATAGCTTTTTAATGTTGCAGCTTGCACCTTGTGTTCTGGCCGTGTGCCGAGTAGCAAATCAGCAAAAGAATGTGTGAGAGGATGCAAGTGTGTGAGAGTGAGAGCAGGAGAGTTTCTGTGCACATATGCCCATTTGAATTCATGCATGCATCTTCCCACAGTGTCCTCACTGTGTCTTTATCACTCACAGCCAGGCACAGTGCAGCACACACTTCCCTCTGACACACTCATGATCGCATCCACTCCACTCCCGCAGCAAGAGGAACTTTATCTGTATTCCTGTCCTCACCCGGAGAACACACACACACACACATCACACGTCTGCCATTTGACAAATCCCTCCTACACAGAAGACTCACTCTGTTTCATTCTCTTAAACACACTCCTTTAATCCTCCTGGGGGATGTTTGCAGCCGTGATTGACACAAGCAGTTGAATGTTTATGTCATCTGAATATGTGACAGTAGAAATAGCAGCAGTTCTCACTTCTATAGCTTTGTGTTGTCTATTTTCAACAAGTACCTAACTCCAACAAGTACGCATAAAAGCAGTGTTCAAGCTTACAATTTAATGTTTAGGACATGCATTCAAATAAATCTTAAGACTCAGATTTTGAAGAATGTTTTATTCCTGCACCCAATAAAAGTGACTTAAAGAAATAGCCCAGATTATGTTTTGCTCCAAGGCTCAACTATCCACCGACAAAAGAGATTTAAATAACTCCCAAGACTGAGGGGCAAGATTTGGCGTAGTTTAGTACATTTTTAATACGTGCCAATTTCCTGTCTGATATCCAAACCCTCCTTACTCCTGCCTGTACGCAACCAATGATACCTGTGGGATACAATGTGTTCAAGCTCACTAATATTTGAAGCACTCACACACAAGCATAATGTTAACATTAGCTTTTCTACATGTTTTGTCCCCAGCAGAAGAAAATGTATATGATAATGAAAATAGACAGTGAAATTACTAATGGATTTACTATCTATACAGTGTAAGAAACAAATGTGTCTCAACACAAACAGTACATTTAGCTTCTAACTCAAATGTATGGATGTTGACTAATGTCAATTCACAAATCAACATGGAGCTGAGCAGGCATGCAGCTTGTGCTCGGTGGGATTTACTGTTGACACACAGCAGATCAAAGGCTGTTGCATGGCCCTGAAGGATTGTTGTGGATTATCGAGCTGTAACCAACCCGGTATCACGGCAAGACGTGAACATGTGACGATCTACCATGCTTGGAGACGTGAATATGTCACGGTTTCAAACGTGACAGTTACACGGTATTGTTAACATGGCCCAACCAGTGGATAAATACCCGGAAGTGCCAAGCAAATGGTCTACCGCGCCTATTGGTCGGTTTTTATTGTCAAAATGAGATGTTTTTAATTTATTTTTTAATCGTCACACTTGATTTCGCCGATTTTCTTGTTGCCCTAGCTGGTCGACACCTCTTTTAGCAGAAACAAAGGCTACATTAATGTATTAAATCGATGTTAATCCATGTGTGTGGATCATAGACTGGTGTGGATGTGGAATTAACGGACGTGACGTTGTGCGATTGCGTTGCCAGGCAACGCAATTTACAAACTCTTCAACTACAACCCTAATTATATTTTAAAACATTTAAGAAGGCCTCACGAAATACTTTAATGTAAATTAAAATGTAAATGTGAAGGGATGTGTGTAATGTGATGATTGACATTATTCACCCACGGATCTATGGGTTGGGGGTATTGTTCCGCACGGACATTTTAGTTAACCGGACTTACTGTTGATGTGAAATCCGAAAATAAATATGTTATACACCATAACGGTGCACAGCTGATATAAAAGGACTTGTCGTTTTTAAAGATATTACTGATTTTCTTTGAATATAAGAATGTAAATACTGAGTTGAGAGAATAGTCAGGGGATTTGGGTGATGGGAGACACATCTATGGATTCAGAATTTCAATAGCTTACTGTTAAATGACGGATATACCTTTCTGTCTGTGATGTTTTACAAATCAGATATTATAAGTAAAACATGTGAAATAATATAGCAATATCCTGTACAATTATGTGAAAACATGAATAAAACTACACATCTTCAGATGTTATACATACACAAGTGTCCTACACTAATAATACAAAGTTATTATGGCTGTGTGTACCTTGTGTGCACCGCCTAGTGGTTAAAGCACGTTATTGAATTAGTTGTGTATATGATATGTCAATGAACCTTAGAAAATCTTGAAAGGGATATGCAAAATAGCCATTATATACAGTCTTTAATTAACTATTAGTAGAGAATAACGAGTAATGAATATACTTTATAGGGATCTGCAGATAAATGTTTAGTCTTCTCAAGCAGCAACTATCAAATATCTCTCCTGATTGTTGGCACTTGACAATCACCTTTCCCTGAATTTTACTCAGGTGTAACTAAAGCCTGATTTAAGGGTTGTTTATATTTCATCTACATCATTAATCAGAATCTGCAAAGTAACTAAAATAAATGTAGTGGAGTAAAAATACCAGGTTAACCTCTGAATTGTAGTGGAGTAGAATTGCTGTTTTGTTTAGTAATGGCTATTGAATATGGAATAAAGGTTTTGACAAGACCTGGTGTAACAATAATCAAAAAGGACATTAAAAGAGCTCCAGATGTCAATGATCTAAACAAAACAGCACACCTGAAATGTATATTTAAATACTTTATTAAGGGCAGTGAATTAGTTTTTTCTGTATGTTTTTCAAATCAGTGTTATACAGTAAGTGTCATAGACAGTGTTACATTGCTATTATTATCCTTAAAATATATATAAAACAAAACCACTTATGATCTTTTTTTTTGGGTGGTTTACTGGACAGTTAATTCTGTTTCTGCTATTGATGGTTTAATTTTTGTG